CTATCCCATGTTATTTATTTATTTATTTATTTATTTATTTATTTATTATTTATTTATTTATTTATTTATTTATTTATTTATTCAATCACTTAACATCCATTGGAATGGATGATAAAATATATACAGTGAACAAACTGTTGTGCCCCTGTTGTTCAGCCTACTTATACCCACCCGTTCTGTCATGCCATTTTGTCTTGTCTCTGTCCTGTAGTGCTCAATCACATCGTTGTGTTCATATCATATGACCCTTTCCTGTTGAATCTTGTGTCTTACTGTGTTGTTCACCTCAATGTTTTTCCTATCCCACCTTATTATATCCCCTACCTCTTCTTTCCTCACCCTGATGTGTCAACCCCACCCATCCTGTCATATATGTCCCAACCAAACTGTGCTATCCCTGTTCACCCCATTTTTTCCCCATCATGTCGTCTCTCTACCCCACCCTCTCAAGTCCTAAGCACTTTTTGTTTGTCTTACGTACCCCTACCCACCCTATCTTTTAACGGGCGGCAGGCATCGTGCAGCATCCTGTCGATATGGGACTCATAGCGACGTATACAACGCATGTAAAATACATTGTTTATTTACATGAAATTCGAACATGCCCTGTGCGACAGCCCCCGCGCTTTAACCACCCCAAGGCATATAAGTACTGTAAAATACTTTATTTTTGCTTGGAATTATTTTTTCGCTGATGGAATGATGCAATGAAAATAAAATCCAGTGAATATACCTTTTTTCCTATATTTCACATTCAACTTATTAAAAATCAGTGAAAATAAATTCCATACAAAGCACCCAAAAGGTCTTTTCAACGAAAATTAATTCCAGCAAAAAATAAAGTATTTTACAATAGCCAAAGAGTACTAATATTTCACAGCCTGGATTTCTACCAAACGTATGTAAGATAACCAATTAAACATTTGATTTCTCATAGATCTTGAAAAAAAGCTGGCTGCTTCTAATGCTAGAATGAAACTGATTGCTACTGATGGTGCTTTTAGTATGGATGGCAACTATGCCCCATTAAAGTTAGTTTATTACACTGCTCTTATGTTGTAATTGCACATGTAGATTAAGTGGTGCATAGCTTAGACTCTTGGCTGTGAAACTGTTGACTAAACAGTTCCTTAAACGTGTCCTGCTTTGGCAAACTTAAATAAATCTTCATTGTATATTGAGATTGTTCACAAAAATTAGCACTTAGCAGTCCCATCTCTAGGTTCTTGTGATCCGCTCCGCTAGTATTGCCCTTATAATCACTTTTGTTGGCGATCCGCTCCGCTAGTATTGCCCTTATAATCACTTTTGTATGGTTTTTGTATTCTTTCGTCCCAAATATATCTCTTCATACAAATTTTGGAGTAAGAATCTTGGATGTATTTTGTTCTAATTTTGTATTGATACCATACAAAATGTAGTTTTTACTGGATTGACCCGTGCTAGCGCTAGCCTAAATTGTTATTTACATTTGACTTCAGTGGTTAAATCAGTGGTGTTAGTGAACCTCTGTAGAAGTCTCTCTCCAATTAAGAACTGCAGACTAGACAATGCTGCAATTTTGAGTTTCGCCAACGAAAATTGGCACACCAATCACACATTGTGTGATGCATTCACGAGTACTGTTGTAAACAGAAACCTCATGTTTTCCGTGTTAGTCTGTTCAGACCACAAGAGTAGCTCAATGATAATACTGTAACAGTATACAAACATAACAATTAATGCAGCTGTACCAATCATCTATAACCAGAAGCACTTTCAGCCAACCAACTTGTCTGACTTACATGTACCATGGCAACACCCAAAAACAAAAAAATTTTTTTTTAGCAGATTGCTAATTAGCATTCTGGCTTGTATAATTATGAGTTAGTTTCATCTGTACGCAATAATTAATGATATTCCCTGAATACCGTATCGTTTGATAAAAAAATGTTCTTGATTTGTTTTCTGTGTACTGTTGACTCGTCAAATGATGTACCATATCAGATAGTAATATTTCACAATTGTGAATGATATGCAGCATAGTCATTTGATGAAATAAAATATAATAATTGGACTGAATTGACACAAATTATCAGGGATAATGACATTTGTACTTATAATGAAGTAGAAATATTGTAACTACAAAAGTAGAAAATTGTGTAGTGAATAATTGTTTCTAAACCTTTCAACTTTTCAGGGAAATATGTGATTTAGGAGATAAGTACGGTGCTTTGGTTTTTGTTGATGAGTGTCATGCAACAGGTTTCCTTGGTAACACTGGAAGGGGAACTGATGAATTTCTGAATGTATTTGGAAGACCACAGATAATTAATTCAACACTTGGCAAAGCATTAGGTGGAGCAGCAGGTATAATTTCTTTATGGTGTGTCAAAATTACTGGAAACTTTTGTTTTATGTCAACAACATAAAAATGAATAGTTTTGTGTGCCTGTTGTCATGGACATTATATTTCCTTTGATTTTGCGTGGTGTTTTTTTTTTCAAATATCATACTGGCTAGTCAGGTGTACAATAATTGTGTTTTTATTTGCAGGTGGTTATACATGTGGTCCTCAGTCTCTTATTGATCTCTTGAGACAAAAATCACGGCCTTATCTCTTTTCTAATTCTGTTCCACCACCAGTTGTAGCAGGTGCATCTAAGGTAAGCATTTATAGTGACTGGTCATGTGTCTTGCAGTGACTGGTCATGTGTCTTGCAGTGACTGGTCATGTGTCTTGCATTGACTGGTCATGTGTCTTGCATTGACTGGTCATGTGTCTAGTAGTGACTGGTCATGTGTCTTGCAGTGACTGGTCATGTGTCTTGTAGTGACTGGTCATGTGTCTTGTAGTGACTGGTCATGAGTCTTATATTGTGACTGGTCATGTGCCTTATATTGTGACTGGTCATGTGTCTTTTATTGTGACTGGTCATGTGTCTTGCATTGACTGGCCATGTGTCTTGTAGTGACTGGTCATGTGTCTTGCATTGACTGGTCATGTGTCTTGCATTGACTAGTCATGTGTCTTGCATTGACTGGTCATGTGTCTAGTAGTGACTGGTCATGTGTCTTGCAGTGACTGGTCATGTGTCTTGTAGTGACTGGTCATGTGTCTTGTAGTGACTGGTCATGTGTCTTGTAGTGACTGGTCATGAGTCTTATATTGTGACTGGTCATGTGTCTTTTATTGTGACTGGTCATGTGTCTTGCAGTGACTGGCCATGTGTCTTGTAGTGACTGGTCATGTGTCTTGCAGTGACTGGCCATGTGTCTTGTTGTGACTGGTCATGTGTCTTGCAGTGACTGGTCATGTGTCTTGCAGTGACTGATCATGTGTCTTGCAGTGACTGGTCATGTGTCTTGCAGTGACTGGTCATGTGTCTTGCAGTGACTGGTCATGTGTCTTGTGTTGACTGGTCAAGTGTCTTGTGTTGACTGGTCATGTGTCTTGTGTTGACTGGTCATGTGTCTTCTAGTGCTAGGTAAGTGTATAGTTTGTGAAGGCGTGTGAAGGTACTAAGTGATTACATTGCATATCAACAGAATAATTTTCTTCCCATTGCCAGGTTTTTGATTTACTCATGAATGATAGTTCATTGGTTGAAAAAGTAGCATCCAAGACAAAACGATTTCGAGAGAAAATGACAGCTGCTGGATTTACACTGTGGGTATGTAATTAAAATATATTTGTGACATTTATTAACGAAACAGTGTATAGCATATGGTGATAGAATACATAATTGGATGAATATGTCACTGAGCGAGATTTTGTTGGAACTGAGAGATTCACAAGTCTTGTTTTTACCCCTGAAATATATGTCATCACATGTACTGTTCCTAATACCCATGATAACATAGATCAGTTGAACAATTACGAGGGATAATGGAACACTACTTGAGGGAAAAAACAGGATTGTGCTTCTCTTGCTTTCAAAGAGTTCTCTGCGGTCATTTGGATCTAGGATCTATTTTGAGTATTATGTGTAATGCACTGAACATCCAAGTTATGATCTGATCTGCTACAGCAAGTTACCGTTCTTCCCCGAGTATAAGCCCAGGGCATGAACATGTAAAATCGGGAAAAATAAGGGGTGGGCTTATACTCGAGAACCACCTCAGAAAAAATAAATTTTTGGTGCGTTTAAAACTGTAACCATCTTCCCAACCTCGAAACATTATCCAAATTACATTTTCCCTTCACAGCGCCGGTCACGGAAGAATATTACGTCTTTTTGAGGAAAAAGGCAAAACGTGTCGTCATTTTTTACAATGAAGAAACAAACATGTTCATAAAAATACAAACATGTTATTATAATACGATTTACATACCGTCTGAATTAACGGTACAAAAATGGGTAGGGTCTGTAGAAAACGGTCGAAGGCAAGATCGTACACAAACTCTTGATACAAAGCTATTTCCACCATGCTGTGTCATACAGTTGAAGTTTCCCGATTATTGACGAAGTATTTTTTTCAATGCGGAAGTGAATTACCGCGATGTTAAAATGCAATCTGTTAACACTGATTTTGACAAAAAACGGTGACGTTTTTCCATAAAAGTTGTTGATTCGCAATTTTGGAAAGGTAAATTGAGGGTGAGGGAAGTATTCACACCTTTCACGGCCGCCAACAAGTCAAGTCAAAGAATAGTTTGCTCGTTCACACCCGTTCACGATAATCTCAACAGGCAAGATTATTCAGAAAATGAAAACAATGATCAGTGACCAGGTTTCAACCAGGTTTCACGACTTGACGATCACGTTTTTGTCGTTTGGAAAACTACTACTCGATAGAAATATGGATTTTTTCAGTATTGCAACATCGGTGTTCATCCTGAGTAAAAACAGAATTAATTTGAGTTTTCTTTTAAAAACTGGAACCAAATTACAGAACCAATCATGATTTTTATGCAATGAAATACACTTTTTACATGCATATTTTAATAAATGTCGTCTCACCCGGAAAAAACACCCTCTGCCTATACTCGGGGATGCCCTCAACTCGTTAAATGTCCAAAAACTGAGGGGTGGGCTTATACTATGGGAAGTACGGTAAGCTTCTTGTGCATTTTTTTTTGGACATTATGAAATGAAATATCCTGAAGTTCAAAAAGCAATAAATTCTTATTTAAATCTAGACACCCTCAATTGACGTTAGTTGGATAAACTGCATTACTCTACTTGTATGGCATGGCGTGTAAACTGCATGAATGTCCTCAATGGGGTGTTTATTGTATCTCTGATTGGTTTGCAGGGAGAAGGACATCCAATCTGTCCAATCATGTTGGGAGATGCAGCCTTGGCTACCAAATTTGCTGATGAAATGTTGAAACATGATATATATGTGATTGGATTCAGCTTTCCTGTGGTTCCCAAAGGTGAGCTGCTAATATTAAATGAATATCCTACATTTTTATCTATTACACTTATTCCATTAATGAGATGTCATGTCAAAAGACATCGGTCGAATTGCACGGTCCCGTGTCTTCGACCTCTACACGATACCGTGCAGGATCGCATAGGCTAATTGTGCTAGCAGTGAGATCTGATTGGGCGCGCCTCGAAACAAGGCACCCAATCAGCTTGGACGTACCAACTTATACAATAAAATTGCACTTCCTGTTTTTGTTGCTATGAAGACATCCTTCCCACACAAAACTGCGTCGAGTGCCTGTACCTGATGAGGCTTAAGGACACCAACACCGAAAACTTCACGATTCATGGGCGCTGCCATTTTGTTTAAAATGAAACGCCAAAGAGGGATTGGACAATGATTAGCCGCAACTGACTACTGGAGGCGCTGTTAGAATATGCATATTTGATGGTCGTTCTGTCAAGGTTCGTTTAGAGGCTTGGCCGAATAAACTTAGACCTTGGCTTGCGAAGATGGTCAAAAGACCAACACATATAATACATGTACATGAAGCTGACTTAGCATACATTCCTCACCATTGATAGAATCTTATACCTGTTGTTTTCAAAAGTAAGCAGATGCATTGCTAAGTATTATCTTGCCATGTTATTGAATCAGGACAAATACATTTTACTATTACTAATACCCCCCCCCCCCCCCTTTGGTATCTTGTACATCTTGATCTAAAAATGTTCGACCACTATGGCCATTCATTTTTCTGGAAAATCATATTTGTTTTATGAATTATTCTTACATGTATCTTCAAATATGAAGAAATACTTCAACAGAAAAAATGGATGTTTCCTACAATGCTCAGTGTTAAACCAATTAGTTTTTAGTCCCCGTTCGAAAGAAGTCCGAAAACGGGGACTTATAATTCGATCTCCGTTCGTCCGTACGTCCGTCCGGAGTCGTATTTCAGAATCCTTTGGACAGATTTCGTTCATTCTTTGCATGTGCCTAGTACTTTATGTGGGACAGCGATTCGATTCAAAATGGCTGACTGGCAGCCATCTTGTTTTTTTGAAAATGTTGTATTTTGTACATGCTTTGTCAGTTTTCATTCAAACTTGGTACATAGATTATACATGTTAGGATACATGTCCATGACAATTTGTTTCAAAATCGGATCAAGGATGGTCATCTGACTTTTTGGCCTTACTGCTATATTTCCATGATTTATGTACCATTTTCATTCGTATTTGGCACATACATCATACATGTTACTTTGTTTCATAATCAGATCAAAGATGGCTGAATAATGGCCGTTTTAATTTTGGGCCATATTACTATATCTCTGTCACCATGTATCATTTTCATTGATATTTAGTATGTCATAAATGAATACATGTCAATTAAATTTGCAATTTGATCAAATATGGCCAACTGGCGGCCATCTTGTTTGTTTAAAATGTGATAACTTGGACATGCTTTCGCTTGTGATTTATGTTTTTCTCTGCTATACATGTATCTTAAACCAGAAGGGTCGTCGCGCAACACGTGTTCGACTTTGATGTAAATAAACAATCTGTTGTATATACCACTTGGGACTTAAGTTTCAAGAACACGTTCGCGAGAACCCCTCCACTTTAATATGACGAGCACAAAGACTACTTTCAAAAATTTAACGGGGATTGTGTCATTTTCAATGACTTGTAAGAATAGTTATTTATATAACTTATTTCCATGATGTCCCACTTGTATATTTCATCGTATATTAAACAACAGTAGCACCCCCCTAACAATTAAGTACAATCGTTAGGGGAGATTAAGATCATTGCCTGCTGAAAGCTTTCACACACCTGCCATAATCAGTGGAAAATGTGTTAAAATATTAGCAGCTAACTCTTTTATTTTATTATTTCAGGCAAAGCACGAATTAGAGTACAGATTTCTGCAGCTCATTCAGATGCAGAGATTGACCAAGCTGTGGAAGCATTTACACTTGTTGGAAAACAGCTTGGAGTAATCTAGTAATAAAGTTTGAAACTGACAGTATCTTCCCATTTGGAAGAACCTGCACCTATTGACATGTAAGATTAACAATATATATATTTGAATTGATAGTACCGTATACGCCATGTGACAAGACATACAGAATGCATGTGTACAGCTCTGACGATACTTTGAAATAATACCTAAAACAATGAATGTAAGTCTCTCAAATGTATGACTTCTTCAAATCTGTATCACATTGTATGATAATAAAACAAGCAACCGAGAATGAAATGAAAATGTGACCTTTATTCTGTTAAAGCCATAACCGTGGTTTACATCATGAATTTACATTAAGTTGTTAAGGCAGCTATGGACAAAGAAATGACATCCGAAATACAGTATAGGACATACAATACATATGTTTGAGTTCCATAATCTAAAGATCTATGAACAAAACCAGGTATAAGGCACAAAATAACCACAAAACCAGTGATAAAATGAGTTTTCCTCTGGAATGTACAAAAAAATAAATACCCAACATAACCCACAGTAAAATGGAATGTTCCATATTACATGCAATCTGTATTTTCAAATAAAAAAACAAAATTTAACCTGTACAAATAAGGCACTATTGTCACTGGATATAGAATAAATATTATTGGTCGTGTGACTTGAGTTTCTTGACTGAAGGTAAATATATAAAGATACATATAATGATGGTATTTACATAGTTTTTTAAGGCACTATAAGTATGTTAATAAGGCACATATGGTGATATGCATATATATTCGGAAGACAGAAATGTGTATATATATTCAAGCCTAGTAAAATGCCAATCAGGCTTTATGCAATGTAGGCTTGTATAAAATCACTTATTTCTGGCTAAAAAAATCTAGCTAGTGTGTTGGATTTACTCTAAGGTCAGAGAATGGTGCAAACACTAATAGAAATAAATCTAATTACTAAATGTACAATATTTGTTTGATATAGATTGTGTAAAGTTAAAAAAAAAAATTGGCAAAAATTAGCAAAACACTCAATAACCCTGGACGATTAGAAATCCAATTTTTTATAATGTTATGAACACTAAAATATGCAAAAAATAATAATCGCATCTAGACCTGGTAAAGCATTGCTACAGGCAGAACCTGTACAAAATTAAATTGAAAGTAAAGTTCTGTATAAAAAAAAAACGAAAAACTTTCTTACTTTTACGGTATCCTACATACTAGTGTATACTGTAAATGCGTTAATTATTCACTGGGTTTTAATTTTGCTATTTTCATTGATAAGTAAAATCCACTGAATTAAATCCACATGAACATGTGAAATAACAATAAAACTCATTGTTTCCCTGCCAATTTCGTGAACTTAAACTCAGTGAAATTGCTCAAATAGTGAAATTAAATCCATTGAAAATAAATGGTTTTACAGTAAGCTATCAGCAATCAAGCAGCACATTTCTTGGCTGTATTCTATTTATACTGATACATATCTGATACACTATATTTGCTCCATTACAAGTGCTTATGTAAATGACGGATGATTCTACAATCAAATAAAAACATTTTCTAGATCCAGTATTCAATAAAAGCAATTTCTGGTTTATGTGTGCTTTTATTGGAAATGTACTTGTAATAAAACAAACACAGGATCGGAACACATAAAGAGCATTAAGTTCCTATTTCTGATTGAGTTTCAGTGAATGTGACTTCTCTGTATCTGATTGAGTTTTCCATAGATTTGGAATTCTGAATGATTGTATTGTCAATGTAGTAAACCAAGAGAAGTACTAAATAGAGTATGTACACTCCATGCTTATTGCACTAAACAACGCTTGAAAATCGACAATAAAACTACACTAATTAATGATATGTACAGTAAAATCAATATGTAAATATTGACAACCAATAATTCATATTTTATATATTAAACAACAAAACACACAAGTATGGTACCTTTACCTGCAAGATACCTATAATTTAATTTAATTGAATATAATATAATAAAATGGAAATTATGTGATAAAAACTAAGATAGTGACCAGGAGAAGATTGATGGTAAACCTGGTTGCTAACTTTTTCCCAAGTGATACACAATCTCATTCAAAGGTATTCTAACAAAAAATACGGGCATAATACACATTTTTCTGCAAATAAGAGTATTAGCCATGCAATAGTTTTAAAATAGTATATATCTGGGCTGGAAATTACTTCACAAATAAAATAAACTAGATTTTTGTATTTTTGATACAATGAAATAATGATGACTCTGGATATTTATTATCTACTCATAATTTTAAATTTGAAGAAAACTTGTTACTGTAAAATACTTTATTTTCGCTGAAGGAATGATTAAGTGAAAATAAAAGCCAGCGAATATACCTTTTTTCCTATACTCGGCAAAATTCATTGAAAATAAATTTCATACAAAACACACAAAATTTGTTTTCAGCGAAATTTGATTGCAGCTGAAATAAAGCATTTTACAGTACTTGGAATGTTACACCTGAACCATCAAATGAAAATTGGTGACTTGTACATTACCACTGACAAGGATCTTTTTTTCCCAAACAACTGTAAAAATAAAATGCTTATTGCAGATATAACAAAATTGTAATAGGTAGATGTCACACAATCAATGCAGCTGTGTTTTGTAGTCCAGAAGAGGCATATGCAGGTTATTTTTTTATTTGTTCAACTATAAATGATTTCTGAATATTTTGAATTTCTAGTTGTGACCCAACTTAGGGGGAGAGACTTTAAACGGTAAATAAGATTATAGTTTTCATGTCGTATCAATTCTGAATGATATGTCAGTGGCTGGCAATTAGATACATTTATCAAGAGGAAAAAATTCAATGATTTTACACCATAATATGACAGCATTGTTTTCGCGAGTCTATTAATCTAGATTACAACAACCTTTCTTCTTGTCTTCTGATTGTCCCAACTGAAGGACCTTTTGCAGTTCTCTATCTTCTTTCTCTTGTAGTTTTCTTGATAATGCTTGAATACTTTCATCTACATTATAGCTAGATTTTGCACTGGCCTCATAGAATAACGTTTCATATTCCTTTAAGTGGGGGGAAAAAACAATTAATATGATGCCATCTTAAATTTATTATGCTATAAAAAGTGAATATTTAAAACATTCCAATTCATGTGTATACAAGGCCTACTGAGTTGACCACAACTGTGAAAGGAAATTAACAGCGCCCTCACAGGTTTAACTTTTGTTTTTTTCACTAACCTCTGATAATCGATGTCCATCTTTTTGTTTTACTTGTCGTTCATCTTCCATATCTGTTTTATTACCAATTATCATGATAACAGTACCCTCTTCAACGCCATCCTAAGTAAACAAACACAATGAGGCTCAGTCATCTTGTTGCTTTGAGGCCGGGGGTGTGTGTGTGTGTGTGTGTGTGTGTGTGTGTGTGTGTGTGTGTGGGAGAGCTGGTTGTTTGAAACCCCTACCCCTTATCAGACAGAAATAAACTCAAATTGCCTACCCCTTATCAGACAAACTGGATATTTGACACCCCTTTTCAGACATTAAGCATAAATGGTACCAAGGGAAAAGCAGGTGGACTCCCAAAGATGGACTTTGACAATCAAAATGAGGGTACAGAAAAAAAAGTCAGTTACATTGTCCTGGTTGTTGGATCACTCAAGCTTTAGAGACAGTTGTTGGAGAATATGGACTCTTATTTTTAGACAGAAATAATGAAAAAAGGATACCGCTATTCAGACAGACAGGGTAAAATAACATACCCCTTTTCAGACAGAAGTGGTGAATTTGGGACCCCTTTTGGCGGCACATATACATATACAGGTAGCACTTTAATGTGAGTACCCCCCAGGCTTTGAGGACACAACATTTCTACTCTCTTTTAGTGGGTGAATTTGTACAACTCCAAGGTGCAAATGTTGGGAATCACATGAAACGAAATTTTGTTTTTTGTTGTTCATCTTAATAAGAAAAACTAAACACATCATTTTAGAAAAATTGTACATGAATCAGTTATATTTTCATGTAATTTTTCGAGACGTTTAACTTCAATATTCACAGGTGTATTATAAATAAAATTCCTCATTTATATATGCTACTGTAAAATGACTAATTTACACTGGGTTTAAATTTCGCTGATTTACCATTTCATGCATATTTAGTGGGTTTTAAATTCACTGTTTTATCATTTAGATAATGAATCCACTCAGCGAAATAAGCAAAATTAAAACCCAGTGAAAAATTAACCCCTTTACAGTAGTTGGGAAAATGTGCACCTGCACACATGGACTTTAAGAATTACAGTTACATTAATCCATTACTCATCCTGACCTTACCTGGACACTACTCATCCAGTTCCTTACACTAGTAAAGCTGGATTCAGATGTGACATCATACACCACTATTACACCGTCAGCTTTACGGAAATACTGTTTTGTAATGCTACGAAACCTTTCCTGTCCAGCTGTATCCCATAATTGCAATGCTATCATCTTATGATCCACTATGACATTCTTGACTTGGAAATCAACGCCTACAACCGAAAAAGTATGTGTTGGTAAGCACACTATCGTAAATACTGGCTTATTTATTCTATTTGCAATTATGAATTCAGAAAGCTACAATATAATTTTTTTCCAGTATTGTAATTAGTGCTCCACCTTGTGACGCTCTGTTAGAGGTATAGCAAGCTGTTACGAATTAAGCACCAATATGGCTGCCATATCCAGGCAACGGTGTTCAAAATACTGTACATGTAAAGGCTCTATAACATAGTTTCAGATTCGCTAGTTGCTAGGTTACCATGCGCATGATGTTGTTTAAGAAAATGGGTCAATATAGTCAGTCATTATAATTGTCACCCCAATTTGTATAATCTGTGTACAACCTGAGAATTGCCACTGTAAACATCATAAATGCCAAAATGTGAAAAATTATACCCCTTTCCCGAGAAATTCTGGAGAAAAATTATGCTCACACTATGGTTCTTTTGAGACATGGTTTAAACTATGCTTTTGAGCAATATTTGAGTATTATATTTATAATTAAAATAATGAACTTTCGCTCAAAAAGAACGCTATGGGGCACATATGATGTATGGTAATCTACTAACCACACCACACACAACTTAAATTGACACATTTAAATAGGTCCTTGATTTTTTCTGTGATTGCATGAAATTGTCTTCCATAATTACCCTTTTCTTGGGAAGCTCATAAGAAATTACATTAAAAAAAGTACCAATACTGATGAAC